GATCTTGGAATGGATGTCTTTTAGTTTATCCTGTTTGGGGTTTGCTCAGCTTCTTGAATCTGCAGGTTTATTGTCTCTTGCCAAATTTGGGAATTTTTACACAGTATTTCTTCAAATTGTTTTTTAGTTTTATCCTCTTTCTTCTTTCCTTCCATGATTCTGATAATATGAATTTTGGATCTTTTGTCACAGTCCATCAGGTTCCTGAGGCACTCTCACTTTCTTTTTCTGTATATTTTCTATGATTCAGATTGGGCAATTTCTATTGTTTTATCTTCAAGTTCACTGATTCTTTCCTCTCTTCTTTGTATTCTACTGTTTAGCCCATCCACTGAGATTTTTATTTCAGCTATTTTTCAGTTCTAAAATTTCCATTTGGTTCTTTATCCTTCTGCTTCTTTGCTGAGACTTTCATTTTTTGTTTAAGTATGTTCATGATTGCTTGTTGAAGCATTTTTATCATGGCTGCTTTAAAATCATTGTCAGCTAATTCTAACATGTCTGACATCTTGGTTTTGGCATCTATTGATTGTCTTATTCAGTTTGACATCTTCCTGGTTTTTGGTATGGCAAGTGATTTTCTGTTGAAATCTGGACATTTTTGTATTATGTTATGGCAGTCTCAATCTTCTGTTTTAGCTGGACTTCTCTGAGACTACTATAGAAGGGGTCAGGGTGAGGGTTAAGTACCACCTTGTTACTTCCAGATGGAGGTAGAAGTCAAAATTCCCAGTTGGCCTCTATTGATACCCAAGGTGGGTAGGGGAGCTCATTGTTACTGCTGTGTAGGAGTGGGACTTCTAGCTTCCCATGTGATCTCCACTGACACCACTTGGGGGTGGTCTTGTTACCACTGGGCAATGATGAAAGTCTGGACTCTCCACTAAGTTTGCCTTTATACTACCCCAGTGGGGAGAGGGTAGGCACCTCATAGTACTGTCTGGTGGGGGTGTTACTGGGCCCTAGTTTTCTGCCTGCCCCAAACAAAAACCCCAGTTTGGCTTGCAAAAATCTGTTACCCCAGGGCATTTAGCTCCTGACTTAGGCTTGTCAAAATCTTGTTAATGAACCCAAGTCCGGCTGCCTGCCCCAAACATAAACAATTCAAAAGGCAAATGTTGGTGGAAATGGAAGTCAGCTTTAATTCAGAAATACCAGTGATCTGAGGAG